TCAATGCCGTCAACTGAGAGCGATTTCATAGTCAACAATGTTGAAAGAGGCGGAATCAATATGCCGAGAGGAGAAGACGAATATAGCCGTGTAATGGATTTAGTTAACGCCGCTACCGCTCACCGAGGGACCAACAATTGACAGACTAGTTGATATTCGCCGCCGACGGAAATTGTGAACCATTGAAATGGCGGACGGATTTTAACTGCTCGAATGGTTCGGACAAAATGATGAAATAAAGACTTTTTTTGAAGCATCACGCACTCAATTCCTCTTCGAATTTTCAAAGGGTTCACCAGCCAGTGTTTGATTCGCCGCTTTTTCCACTCGGACAGGAACGACACCCGCCCTATCAAAGGTAGTGAACTGATGGCTGAAAGGTAGAGCAGTTCTGTGTATTTATTGTGGATCAGGCCTCACTGGAAGGAGGAGGATGCCAACAGACTCGTCCGTATCCCTGTGCTACTGGTCGTGGCAACGACTTCGCAACTGTAGCGGACGAGTTGCTGTGAGCGTAATTTAAAGTAGAGTGTTATATGGACACCAAACAGGTCAATTCCTCTGAAATTCAACCTCATTCAACTGTTCCAACCGACAAATTTGAAAACCCGCGCTCTTAGAGAGATGCCGCATCGCGCAAATGGCCGCACACGGCGGCGCGACGGCCGGACGATTCTGTTGACCGCTTCCCGCTGAACGGCGTGATTGGGACCACCTCTCAACGCTTTTCCAGCAACCACTCTCAAGGACGTCACGAAATTGATCCGCCCTTGATCCATCGTGTTCGATGCCCTTACCTGACCCCATGCAGGTAGGGGAAGGGGAAAGAGCAAGCAAGAGAGTCATTGTGACGCCTCGAACCGTAGCACGTCCTTCGTGAAATTTTAAGAACGAGGGAAATACTTTATAATTTTTTAATAAAAATAAAATACAATTCATAATATAATGTATACAATAAAAGTAATAAAAGACATTAACTATCCTATGACCATTCATAAGCAGCTGAAAATTGTCCTGTGAGAACAGCCGATGGTTTGGCTCCGTCCATTTATTGGGATATCAAATGTCTCTCTGCAGTGCCTAAGTGGCCGACATCCATGTAACATAATCCGTTTAGCGAGCGAAGTCAAGAAAAAAGTAGGCGTCCTGCATCCGCTCGAATAGATCTTTATCGATATCAATTATCAAAACAAATTGTCAAAGAATACTGGAATAAATGTTTCTTAGTTCAGGAACTCTAACCACGCACGCCGTTCAGAGCGTGCCAAGCTTTTTTACAGCCAAGCCTCGGGATAAAATAGGTGTGGAAGAGCGTCACTAACGAAGCTAAAGGTGGGGAGTGGTCTGGAAAGGAAGAAGAGCAAGAGAAACCCTCGATAACGCCTCAGCTAAAGACATCCTCTATTTCAGCCAGCATTCCATCTTGTAATAGAGAAGGGCATGTTGGACGAGTTTTGCGAGCTTCCAGTTGCTTCAGTGCCAATGACATTGAACCGCAATTGAACCGCTGCCGCAACTGCGCCCGCGCTTTTCAAGCAGCGTCACGTGGCAACCGACAGCAGAAGGCGGGGCTTGCGGACGAAGGAGTGGATTACGAGCTTCCAGCGCCTTGTCGCGCACATTCGAGCCGCAAAAGGGCGCGCCATCAGTGCTTGTCCGCCTGATTTCTACGCTCGGCTGTGAAACAAATGAGCGTGCCTGAATCCGAAACATACCGTGGAAGTGGTCGTCTGCACGATATTGTGTACATGCAGGAAGCATACAATTATGTTTCATTTCTCCTGACCGGCCTCCTTAGGACCATAAAGGGGCTGTGGAGAGGTCGTGGTTCAATCCCTCGTGGTGGCAACTTTTTGCATTTTCAGTGACGTTTCAAAAAAAGGGCAAAATGAGGTTATAGTGAACAATGGACGTCACAACTATAAAACTCAAAAAAAATTATGAAATTCAGATTTTTACACAACTTCGACCAATTAGACAAGGTAGGTCAGTAGATCAGTAGTCCGTCAGGCTCACGGTGTATGTTCATAGTACTCACGAAATGGCAGATCCTGTCCCATAATTGACTATGGCAGACACCCATGGTGGTGATGGCCAACAGGTCACGCACAATGATCAGATCGATAGGTTCTCCTCCCTGTCAAGCAGAGCGAGGTTGACTTCTGTCCCTTGCCACAGGGTAGCGGTATTGTCTATAACTGTTTAATTTTCAAAGAGCGCAATGTCATGTCGGATTTGCCCTAGGTGTGGGGAGGGGGACTTCGGTTTCCGTGTTTGATCACCAGGGGCGGTATTCAATCCTTCCCCCAGGGGGATATATCCCCCTCCTCTGATTCAATCCTCTGGGGGGACAAAAAAGGGTTGCGTCATAGGACCTAGCATACCTCTGTGTTTCTACCTGCCAGACAGTTAGAGCAGCGCTACTACCCTCCACTGATGAAGCACTCTTTTCCCTGAGGGGTCGCGCTGCTCTAACTGTCTGGCAGGTAGAAACACAGAGGTATGCTAGGTCCTATGACGCAACCCTTTTTTGTCCCCCCAGAGGATTGAATCAGAGTAGGGGGATATATCCCCTGGGGGAAGGATTGAATACCGCCCCAGGACGTACCCGATTTTCCCCTTCAAGCTCGTTTGCATGATCTGTTGCCACATGAACGGTTACACTTATAGGTGGTTCAATCATTCGAAATTACGTCGAAATCTTGTTCTCCGAGGCTTTGGTTATACATAGGAGAATTCAGTGCCCTAAACACAGATATCGTATTCTTTGGCACCAGCGCCATCGACCATTTTCGCCCTACAACAGTTTTCCTCCAACTTTCGAAGAAAACACACTTTTGTGTGGCTACTCATGACCCTGATCATGAATATGACCCTCATAGTAGTACCACAGCGTGCCGAAATCGCTCCCGAAGCTATAACACTTTCTTCAGCACATAGCTCGGACAACCGTATCATTTTGTTCAAACATCGTGTTATTTTCAAACTGTAGGGTTACCGAGAACTTCTTAACATAACTGTAGCCAACGTATACCAACGTCTACAATGAAGCAGTGAAAAGAAATTCCCGTGGCAATTCTTCTTCGCCCCTTTCTTGGTACTAAGGGAGACATTCTGAAAAAAATGAACCATACCCCTCTGGTTCCCGCATGTGAAACTATATCCCATGCAAAAACCGTTTTGGAATATCCTGACACCCTGAAAGCCCTTTTTTGGTAAGACACCCTGTGGTGGTGATCTTAGAGCTATCGTATCCTATAGATATCGTATCCTATAGATACCATGGAAGAATCGTTTTTCAATCGATTTGGTCATTTCCCACAGGGAATACGAACAGAGTTCTGTCTTATTCCCACGTAAAAATTATGGCTAAGGTCCCTGGACGACTATGTCTCCCAAGCTCTTCGCTATTAAAGGCGAAGGAGAAAGCTTCTTCAAAGATATTCAGTCCTGACTTGTTTGTTAAAGGAATCTTGCGCGGAAAAATCATGATTCTATTTCAGCCATAAATCACTGGCTTGAGACTCATTATCCACGATAATAGTGAAAAGAACTGAAGTATTGCTTTCGTTTTGATTAGAAATTCGAAAACTCGAAAAGGCTGCTACGCGTTCGAATTGCCCACGGACGTCTTTCACGAATGCTGGCGACGGGGATGCTCAAACTTGGTTCTTGGAGTGCATTCACTAGAAGCTCTTTCTGGCCTTCTGCTTCGTTGCATTCACATCTTACACTTCTACTCCATCCTATTCCATCGATCGATTTGTCTCCACTAATCCGAAATCGCGCGCTTTAACCCGATTCTCTCATTGCGTCGCCTGGTACGTAGCCGGCCAAACGCCGTCTTCTTCCATGCCTCGCCTGGCTCTGCCTCCTGGTCCTTCGATGGTCCATAACGTGTAGTTTTTGTACGTTTGTTTCTCTTCAGAAACCGAATCTTCATGCGTGAAACTTTGTGTGCTATTTCCAGTGATCACAACTGACATATTCATGTTAGGAAAGAGTGCAAGAATTTTCCGCGCAAGATTCCTTTAACTGCTGTTTTTGGCCGCAGTTCGCCTTGCGAATGTTTCACAAGAATGCTGGGTTGTGAACAAAACTTTCGCCCCAGACGGGACTCGAACCCGCACCTCTCGCTTTCCGGGCAAGTGCGCTACCAGTTACGCTACCGGGGCACCATTTCATTCCAGAGTTGATTGGGTCCGAATCCCGTCTGGGGCGAAACTTTTGTTCACAACCCAGCATTCTTGTGAAACGTTATTCAGTTCCTTTGTGGGATATGCCACGCACTCTAGCTCTTCATGACATGAGAACTGAAAGAAAACATCATAAGTAAAGAGGTAAAAATTAAAGTCGGGTTTCCCGAAAAAGGGAGCGTGGGTTTCTCGAAAAGTTGGAGCTTCTGTGCGCTCGTGTGATTTCCATAGTCTTGCCCCCCCCCCCACCTTAGAGGTCAACCCGCCGAGTTTGTTTCACTTTCTTCCACTTCGATTTGGTCCAAAGCATCGCGATTTATCTGAAAATCATGTGATTGTGCTCACTAAAAGGTCAAACGACAGTGGTCTAGTGGCATATGGCACGCTTACCAAGCGCGCGGTCCGGGATCGAAGACTGGGTGCGCAATCTGTGCGAACCAAGGAAATTGATCAACGGCAAATGCTTTATCGTTCTATCCTCTAGAAGGGGAACATTTCTGAAACAACTTCTGCTCTAGGATGTGCCGTGTACTTGTCTGTTATCAGTAGTCACAGTGGCGCTTCAAAGGATTTTGCCATTGGTCCCCACTCTTACGACCCCTTTGCAATACCAACTACGACTATCCTTCTTTGAACTTGTCACAGCGAACGATTTACCCTGGCTCCCTATGTAGTTGCACTATTGACTTTCCCAGGCAAAAACATCAAGGACATTACGAGCAATTGGGTTCGCAATGGGCTATGTTACAGGGGCATGGTATTGCCGATTCAATCAAATTTAATAACAAATTTTGTAATGTTGGCATGAGCATAAGAGGCGTGTTCATTTTGATAGGGCAAAATAGTGCAGCCGCGAATACGACAATGAGCACTTCACCCATGCTTACGGTAAGCGTGAATCCGATTTGGTGCGTCCCTTTCATGTCATTTGGAGAAATTTTCAGGTGTGCATCGTCTTGTTGAGCCTGCACGGCATCTGCAACGGACAAGCACAAGCAACACGTGCGTCCTCTGTTTTTTGTCTTAGGGAGATAAAAAAGAAACTTTTTGAATTTCTTGGGACAAAAACAATCATACATATAATACATCTAGCTCAATGTATGTTAGTGGATGACATTGCCAGGTTGACCCATTTAGTAGCTCTCCCTTTGATGGCTCTCATTCTGATAATACCCTGAATTATTATAGAAGCGAACGTTTAAGTGTATCGACGGTAGAAGAATTTTATTCATTTTGAAGGATTTGGTAGGGGTTGCAAGGAATTGAAACGACAAACGTTTTCACATCAACTCGCACCTCATTGAAGAAGCACCCCTCGACAAGTTTATGTGGACCAATTCTTTGAAGGATAGAATTGAACTATCCACTGAAGTCGCAGGTGCCCCCTTCTTTTTGCCCGAAACGGAGCGACAAAGGCACTGAGGCCTTCTCAAACCCACTTTGAATGCTTTTATTTTACATTTCTCGCAACATGAGGATGTTTGTGCTCTCTCGTTCGCCCATGCTGTCCATTCCCACGCTCATTGGGTCATTGCCATAACATTGCTGGATTCCAAAAATGAATAATTCCCTGATTTGCATGTCTTTGCGCAAGCTCTCCTTCACTTCCGATCCGTTTCGCACCTCGCTGTAAGTACTGTCGACAAAAATCACCCCAGTTTGATCGTTGAGACGTTGAGGGGAACATTTATTCAGAAATTCACACGAACGTTCTTTCGGCATCGATACGGTGCTTGATTTCCAATCCTAAGCTGGAGCAGAGCTCTCTATGTATGTAGGACTGCAGTGAAACCGTAAGAAGAAAACATCGCATGTTACCGAAAAGCTCTGAAAGCGGCGAAAATTTTTTGACCTTTGCTTAGTCCAAACGCTTTGGTATAACGATAATGGCGATGATTTTGACCCCAGCACCTTTTGGAGTTGAAAAATCCGACTAGATGTAAGAAAAGTAGGAAAACTCAAGAAGCATTGATATTGTTGAAGAAACAAAACTGTCACAAGTTTTTCAAGTTACAAGGAAAATATTCAACGAGTAACAGCCCTCATACTTACATTTACCATAATGCTCCGGCTCGCACGTTTACGTCCCGAACGAGAGGGAGCCCTCATTACGTCCTTTTCCCTATGCTTCGTTCATAACACTTCCGTTGTTTCGATTATTTGCGCCTCCTGATAAGCGGCTTTATTTTTATTTCTTTGTCTCCGGTCTGATATCATTCACGATCGGTCATAGTTATCAAATCCTTCCATGAAGTTTTTGATTTATTGAAAAACCTTGGACAGATAAACTCCAGCTGGGTCGTGTGAAAAAAACGTGTTTCATAGGTAGATAGGGATGTTGGTAGAAGCATTTCCGAAGTGCCGTTGCTGCGATTCAAAACCGTACAATAATGGCGCCAGGGGGCCCTAGCAATTCTAAACTATTGCGAGCAAATGGACGAGATTCTTCGCGCGAACCCCCCACGACATGCAACGTGGATTACGACGTGGCGGCTAGTGAAAATAGGCGCAGATTTGTGGAATCATTTTGCAAGCAATTCAGAAAACTCGTCCAGACACGCCCTTTCCTCAATTCAGAGAGGAAGAAAAGTTGCGTTTTTTCATTTTCAGTGGACTCGGTATTTCATACTTTTCGTAGTTACCTGGGTGAAAATGTAGTTTGGGGGGGGGCACTCCATAAAAACTAACCAAAGTTATAATTGCAAAAAGCGATAATTGAGTCGAGAGAGCGTTTTAGGAGCTCAGCTCTGAGTGTCGACACAATAGAAATTCCACAATGACGGAACTTCCGTAACCAAAAATGGAAGTAACCTAGAAAGGACCTGTTCCGAGTCTTGCATAGTTGATCCATAGATACTAAAATAAGCGTCAGCAAGATGAGGCATGTCGCCTTATAGAGATAACGACAAATTGGATTGCAGTGTGACTGTGCTTCGTGACGCCCTGTCGTTTGAAAGATTGTCGTGATCTTTTGAATAAATAGAGCATGCGAGGTCCCCTAAAAGGTCCCGACCGCCTCGGCAAACAGCAAGAGACGCGCCAGAAGTCGCAAAGCTACCGATTTCAGCGCGTCGCTTGTACGATATGAGACGTAGTGTGGAACACTCTCTCTAATCTGACGCCTAACCGCTACAGTATGCGCTGCGACTCGTCCCTCTGCCGCGTCTGCGTCTCTTGCTCCGCCGCGCGGTGGGCCTGTTGGGGGACACCCCACTGTGAGCATCTCTGCACAACTCCACTTCGAGTGACGTATAAGGTGGCCCCCCGAGCTACACTTTCACCTCACCCCCACCCCTCCCGCCCGGGTACCCCCCAGGAGGCCCGTCGCGCGGCAAGAAGGCAAAGTCAGCGGACGAGTCGCGCGCGTACTATAGGGATTTCGCGTCAAGTTAAATGTCCCATTGCACGTCCTACATCGCACATCACGCGCTGCAACTCGTCCGCCGACTCTGCCTTCTTGCCGCGCGACGGGCCTCCTGGGGGTACCCCCTCCTGCCCACCAATTTGACGGCGTTACTGCTTTGAGACTTTTTTCATTTTTGCAGTTCTCATGGCCAAATGACCAAATAAGGTGCGGAATAATGTGATTTAAGGTGAAGGGCCACTTTATCCAAGCGAAATACTTTTGGTGATTACAGAGAAATGCCAAACACATGGTCCCAACATGGACGACTCGACACGTGACATAATTCTGGAATTTCATAATGGATTTAGGACCCAACTAGCTAAAGGATTGTCGCCAGGTTATCGAGGGAATAATCTATTGCCTGCAGAAAACCTTTACAAAATGGTTAGTCCAACGTTGTTTTCGAACATACATTTCGATTCCGAAATTTATAAGCCTAACGCAGAGTTGGGGAACGCGCAGCGATAAGAAACGTATCATCACTCACATGGGAACAAGTGTGACTCTGTGCCTGCTCTTTGATTGGTGCCAAACTAATCAGGGCCCGTGGAAGTGAAGTCAGTGAAGATTGAAGATCTTGGACGTCTGAAAGGCAAGCAAAGCACCCCTTTTGGCGTTCCTGCCAGAGTCAACCCTGCGTTGCGCAGTTCTCAACGGCCACGTTGCGCAGTTTCGCCCGATTAGACACGTTCTCTCGCGCGAACATTCACACTCGCATGCTCGAGCCGTCTGTGTCTCCGCCCATACAGCGTGCGTTGAGGATCTCTCAACGTGCCGTTGCGAACTGCGCAACGCAGGGTTGACTCTGGTTCCTGCTGGGGCCGTATGCTGAATGTTGGGGAAGGGATGGGAGTCCCCGACGGTCGACGGACTACTTCAACTCGGTTGGTACGGTAGGAGAGTAATGACGCAAGTGGTGCAGCTGGTCCAGCAGCCAGGGTCAGTCCTACTCGTTCGTATAACTTTTTTCAAAAATTTATTACGACCGCCCCTCCCCCAGGGTGGATTTGGTACGACCCCTTTTGGACCCTCGACCCATATTCCTCTTTATAGTCACTTTAATCTCCGGTACCACTCAGCCACTACCACCCGCCTACTTCCTCCTGGTTGTCGTACGGACGGGGATACTACGCCGCCGCTGGAACAGGCACACATTATTCCCCGTCGCCTCCTAACTCACCTACTCTACAATCCTCCGAACACTGCCACTCTTCTCACCCACCACTAACACTCACCATGTACTTTCACCACCTGCACCAGGACTACGACCCCTCACCTATATCCAACCCTCAATCACGCGTACGCACCCCTCCCGATTGTTACTAGTACTTAACACATCTCCGCAAAAGGGCTGTTTGCTTCTCCCAACTAAGCTTGAGAGAGCGAAGCGAGACCAGAGCGCAGGTTCTTCTCTTACACGAGCTTAGCTCCGAAGGTCAAGCAATTAAATTGAAGACTGGATTTCACCCCGGCCCCATTTCATGGTAGTCCGTCGACCTCGGAGAGCCACCCATCCCCTTCACACCTCCATTTCAGCGTACCCACGCCCACGCGTACCACCTCAAGTGGTCCTGGTTTGCTTCACCCTCTCGCACGTCTACTGCCCCTACTGAAGACATATCCCCACCGCCATCGCTCTTTCGCTCAATCCACCTGTATCCCTTTCCTGATATGATTGAATGCTGAAACCAGGATAGTCCGAAATAAACGGTAGCCCAAAAACCGAGATGTGGGCGAACAGTGTAGTGTGGACAGCACAAGAATACTTAGCAGAGATACCATTAGACCTTTGTGAAATTACCTTGAGAGAGTTGTGTCAATTCATCAACAACCAGCAGCAAGCTTACAGGCCCACTAACTGGTCGACTTCAGTCGTGTTATTGATACACATCAATAACTGCAGTACTCTGCCTTATCCACCTGATCACTAGAATAGTCCAAACACGAGTTTTGCTCATAATTTCAGTTGGGCTGTGAGATGTGGTGTATGGCAAGTGGCGGCCAATGTCTAGGTACATCGGATCAGAGAGTCCAACACGATTCCACACCCTAGGCCTAAACAAGTCTTATAATCCTTACGTAGGTCGCCTAATTGTAGCAGATCTGTTTTAGGAGAGATCAAAAGGCCCGACGTGCTTATAGGCTACACATTCCGTTCGTTGTATACTAAATTTCGTAGTAAAATAATAATAACTACTACTAGATTTTGAATGGAGGTAGTATACGTGCGCATCTCAAAAAGGATTGGTCAAAGCCGAAAGCTTTATCTTTTGGGGTCTCATCTAGTCACGTGGCGCGTGGTGAGACAGTTACTGCCGCATAGAGAAAGTTCGATTTTCCAAAGAAGAATTTGCCGCGGTGTGATCACTTCCGCTTTTACATCCACCGCAGAGCTTCCGTATAAGTGGACCACTTTTACGCAATATAACTGTGTCGTACCGTTTTCCCAGCCTCCTTTAAAGTGAAAACATTCATAACACGTTGACGACAGTCGATGCGAGTTTTGGCTTTTTTGGCCACGTGGGACCGCGGCGATTTTGCGGGCGCGCTCGCCTCAGGTCGTTCAAGCAGATTTTGAATGATAAATACACAAATAATGATCAATTTCGAAACCAAATCAGTAAATTGTAATGAGCGCAACCTAACCAGGGGTACCTTAGTGGAATTTCGATCGAAAGACATGAGATTAACTACGTGCGTTTCAAAAGTATGTGCACACCCTCAAAATTCACGTTTGAAAGGGAACCATGAGGTTTCGTGCTATGAAATCCTTCTCAATCGATTTCTCGTAGTCGATAACCTATCAATGGAAGCAAAGCAGATAATATCGCCTCACTTTCGGAAAAAATTTTGGATGAAATTTTTTTCTTTGTTTCAAAAGTATGTGCACACTTGAAGAAGATCAGATTTTGGCGCCGAATTTCCACCGATTTCAATCCGACTTTGCTGTTTTCATTTCGTCATCATGTCAATTCGCGCCATACTTCTTCCTGAAGATGAGCAAGCTCAGATCAAGGTTCTGCATGATAATGAACGTTCCAATCTAGAAATCGCACGATAACTTGGTCGTTCTCCTTAATGCATTCGAAGATTTATCTGGCACCCTGATAATTATACTCAGCACACACTCCGCTCCATCCACGATCCTTGACTGCTCAGAACAACAAAAGAGTAGCCCACATCCTGTCGGATTCTTCATTGACAGTCCGAGCTCAGATTTTTATTCCAGCCTCGAAAATGACCACTAAGCCCCTCATCCGCTCAAATGAATACACCACTCGACAGACGCTGAGAAAGGCTACTCACTTCAAGGCCCAGCACAAGTTAGCCACATTGGAGTCTGCTCGTACAGACATGGCAACATAGGATAGGACACCGGGCGAAGACACGGTTTTTCGAGAATTTCCTATTTTCAAAACAAGCAACTTTTTATGGACTTTCTCTCCTCAGGTAATCTTAGCTCGTGGAAAGAGTTTGATCATGACGGGCCGGAAAGATTTTGTCACTGCTGAAGAGGTATGGCGATGAACCGGTCGTCGTGTTCTCGAGATGGAATTTCGGAGGACGCGCATTGATGGGTCTGGGGCGGTTTCGCAAGGAGCTGGAAGTTGGAGGTTGCCGCTCCATTATTGCCTATGAACTGTAAAGAATACCAAGCAGTGCTCCAATGTCACCTGTTGCCCTTCCTTAGCGAAGCGGAGCGAAAATTGCATTTTTAGCAACAGGACCACGTGTCTTTCGATGCTTCGCAATCTACCAAAGAATGGCCTTAACCAAATGGTGCTGAAGCGATAGATTGGCTTGTGTGTCCTCCTTACTGCAACCCTATAGGGAGCCCTTGATCAAGGCGTTAACTTTAGCAACCGGCAGTATAATACCGCGGATGAACTGAAGGCGGCGGTAGAGGCTATTTGGGCCGACAGCGACGAAACAGCTATGCCAAACGTGGTTCAGATTATGCCGGACAGGATGTTTGAGCTAATTAGAAACTCTGGAGGCCCCACTGATTTCTAATCTCAGCTATGTTTTTGTCTTTTGTTAAGTGTGCACATACTTTTGAAACAAGAAAAAAATTTCATCCAAAATTTTTTTTCGAAAGTGAAGCGATATTATCTGCTTTGCTTCCATTGATAGGTTATCGACTACGAGAAATCGATTGAGAAGGATTTCATAGCACGAAACCTCATGGTTCCCTTTCAAACGTGAATTTTGAGGGTGTGCACATACTTTTGAAACGCACTGTATGAAAAAGCGAAATTTTCAGAACTAGCTGCAATGGACCTCAAAAGCAATTTTACGTTGATTATTCCAATCAAAACACACATATTGTCATCCCTAAGGTTCCTTATCTACTTCTACTACTATTTAAATCTTCACATTAATAAAAAGAAAAAGTAAACGAAAAATTTATTGAAATGAAGATTTCGTATGGTTCAGAAATCCTCCTCTAAATTAAAGTATACGTGACCATTCTAAGGGCCACTATGTTTGTAGCGTCAAGGTCTCTTCCATGGAATGAATACAAGAAACTTCTAAAAGAATCAGGCGTGCGCGAAAAAAATGAGTGTAATGGGTGCGGGGGATATATATCCCGCACGGTCCGACATGGCCTGCAATGCGCGGGATATATATCCCCCGCGTTGTCGTCAATGTGTTAATAAAAAAAAGGATAAAGCATTTGCCGTTGATCAATCCCTTTTGGGATGCGGCACGCATTCTACTTCCATTTGTACATTCGTAGTGGCGTTTGAATGCGATGTGGCCTATACAATGACTTGCGGGGCCAGCCGATGTACAAGTCAGTGTTTTTATCCTCCCAGACAAGTCTGGTACCAATTAACCGACCCCGGAGGGAGGCTTGGTTGGCCCGGGCGACTCACGACCCAGGATTTGATCCCCGGACCGCTCGCGTGGTAAGCGTGCCACTTGCCACTACACCACTTCCGCCCAATCATTCATTACTCCTTTAATTTCTGATATCTGATATCGCGCTGATATCTTTATGATTTATCATATTCATATTTGCAGAGATGGAGCTGTAATTTAGAAGCGAAAGCTGTGAAAGCAACCAAAAGCTGCGATCATTATAATATTGCCGCCGAAAATTTAGCACAGAACATATATTAGTGAGTGGAAAACTCCGATTCCATACTCCACCTATCAGATACTATTGTCACTTGTTGATTTCAGTTCCAATGATGAGGACTATATCCAAAAAAGGGGAAAGAAAATGTTCCTCATCGATGCCATGTACGAATGGACAATGCCAGCCGAATACTACAGCACGAAAACGGCTATAGAACCGAGTAGAGGAATGCGAAATGTGACCAGTTACAGAAACGGTGCACAGCTCACCTATGTCAATGTCAGCTACCCCTTCTTCTCTTTTATTGGAATGTTCTCATGGTAGATCACAATTTTCCAGATGGCTGCTGAATCTATTTATGAAGTTGGCTGCAATTATGAGCAGTGCAAGAATGGCGGAATAGCCGAAGCTGTGTTCACATGTTTCTATAACAAGATGTAACGTAGATCTACGTAGATAGCTTATAAGATTTTTGGCAATTGTTAAAGCATTTCTATTCCAGCATTAATGGAGGAGCAGTCGTGTATTTGGTAGGAGATGGAACCGGATGTGCGCAGGATCCTGTGGTGTGCACCTTGGGTAAAAGTCGTTGCGAAGGTCTACTATGCGTGTACTGAATGGACGTTCCCATTCTTCTATTTCCTTCCGCCTCATCTATGGCCGCTACAAAATAAATCTTTGCAACGTTCTCTGTTCTGAATTTGTAAGAATGAAGACGAGGATTTATAAGCGCGCTCCAAGAGCATATTGATAGGGAAGGCGTAGCCCAGCTGGAGCCAGCGGATGGACCATCGTTTGGTGCCGAATATTGGGTTGCCGGGAAAGTTGCCGCCGTTTTGACTCGCAAATTAGAAAGCGCATATCTATCGCATATCTGTTCAAACAAAGCGCCTTTGCTCGAAATAAAAACTATTACAATCAGCATACATTTATCTACAAGATATCAGTCTGGCTGATCCGAACGTTGAAAGTGCTGGTTCTGCGAGCTAAGAACCCGGCGAAGGTGTTTCACC